ATTCGAACAACCCAAAAGTGGAGAGTCAGGTTCATCAGTCATAATTCAGCGAAAGTGAGCTCACCATGTAAATGCATTCAACGTTCGTCGCGTGAGGTATTCCTAACGGCAACCTCCGTCACCAAGACGGCATTAATGCCGAACTATTGAATTTCCTCAGTTCCCATTTTCGCCGTAGAACCTCGTCCCATAGTAGTTGGAAATGCAGAACCCTGGACTCGTCCTACGTCAAGGTTCATAAGGTTTTCAATTTTTTCGGTGTTGCGCTACTGCGTTATCGAAGTTTATGGAAATTATTAATTCAATGAATTATGCCCAGTAATGAAGGGAGGGGATCGGGGATTCAAGACAATTTTTTTCCACAGCAGCTTCATCGCATTGGCTTGTCAAACCAATAAAAAAAAAGCCATCATCACGCATTGCTGTGCTGCAAATGGCGTCTGTCGAGTAGCGATGAAAGGTAATACTTTCAAGTATAATAATTGGTTACACGATTGTCTATTACCCCTGTCACAGGAGCAGATCTTTATTTGAGACAAATGCAACCCTTTCACGCTGTTTTGGAATATTCACGTTACGTTTGTAGCGAACCCCAGGGGGTCACAAGATATGGGGCACGAATGCCTCGCTACATATGGGGATCAGACCCAACGTGGTCGGATGGTAATCAAGAAGGTTGCGTGTTCTTATAGATGGTAAATTAGCGAGGGAGAAGCGAAGTCTCAGATCTCTCTAGACTCCAAGTATGAAGGAAGGTACGTCCTTAGATCAAGTTATCAACTGTGCAGAATTTATTAGGATGCTCAATGGGGGAGAAAGACCGGAAGGAGAAATACAGGGAGATACAGTCTCACCGTTGTAGCTGGGGCTCGCACGCACTTCGTCCTGATACGTGGACGATCGAATGTGTTGGTTCCTGGCCGCCGACCGTGGTCCAGGTCGTCGGCTCGTGATGAGTCCACAGCAGTTCGCTATACAGACCAGCACGCAGTTCGGGGCTCACATAGTTGTTCACTGAGTTGACCGGCTGTGAGGGTCAGGCTGCGTGACTCGACACGCCACGTGTTGTCCGGCCGGAGGGTCCTGGCGCACTCACGCGCCCACGTGTTGTCCAGCCGAGGGTTCGTGACGGATTCGCGCGTGCTGTCCGGCTGGAGGTTCAAGGCGGACTGCCGCGTAGGGCAGAGGTGAGGGCGTGATGGGGCGAAAGGAGGTCCGCTATGGGGACTCGGGGACTCTTCCCCTCTGCTCATCCATGGGCACGAGGAGGACTCCACACGTTCTTGATGAACATTCAAGAAACTCATAATTTGAACTGTTTTTTATCACTTTAAATTCTGGACATCTGAACAGTCAAGGAACATTGGCAGTACATTGAATTTTCATTTCAATTCATCGAACATTCATTAAACGCTCCGGTGCTTCCTGATATGCAGAATCGTGCAAAAATACGTGTCCATTTTTCCAATGAAGACAATTCAATCCCAACTTGACAAGAGCTCTCATCTGGGTTGCATCCATGTAAAGGCAGCAAGAAAATAATGCCTTTTCATAATAATCGAATCGCTTGCGATGAGATGCCGTTTTGTTGGTTCATCAGAATGCATCGGGCAATTAAAACGAAAAGATGCGAACAGATGAAAGAGCTTGACATTTTCTGTAATTTTCAAGCAGTGAAATCATGTCCCTAAAAAAAAAACATTCCTAAGGAAGATTAGAAAAAAAATTTTTTCATGCTGGAACATTTTTCAAAGGAAGATAATAATAATAAAAATTGCTTATTGCGTCTTCTGACGTCATGGGTGCCATAAATAAACATTGACTAGTAAAGCAAAAATGTCCATGGGCTTGATCCAATCGCTGCGCGAAATCAGGAGTTATAGGTTTAAAAAAAATGGGGTTATGAAATAAGTGAGCTGCAGCCCTACCAGCTGGCATTTACTCGAACAATGTTTCCACAAGAAAAGAGAGATGGCGTCGTTGCGAGTCGCCCCCGGTGAGTGCAACAACTTCTCAAGATCCCGCGTGAGCTTCGTGGAGGCAAGTGCTTTTCTTGTGAGTGATTTTTCATGAAAAACTTATTCAATCGTATTTCCATCTTTGACCGATCTTTAGACCCTTGAAATACGCGGTGCCTTGTTGCAGGCTACGGCATGGGAGCGAAGTCGTGTTTAGTGGTTTAATTTCCGTGCGATGTCGTTATTCTACTTCAGTCGAACTAGAAGGCGAAAAATTATGAATTGCAAGTATAAATAGGTTTCGACAAGCACTGTCGACAATACAATTTACATTCGAGGGACTAACTTCTAGCATCAGTCAACGGTTCCAACATTGGACATCGGGGCAATTGATTAGTCTCGAGACTATTCAACCATTAAGTAAATAAATGCAGCATATGTATACCCACATCTCTGCACCTGAATCAGGTTCTGATCAAGGCCCTCTAGGATGGCTTGGTGCGTGAAGGCATTTTTCACTCGCCTTGGAAGCAATTGCGCTATAAAAGACCGTGACTGCGCTCGCTCCAGTAATTGAAAATTCTTCACTCCTGGAGAGCCCCGGCCTGACAACACTGCCTGGTGGCCGGCCGCGGACCGACTCAACCCTCTGAATCCTCTGCCCTCCTGCAGCCTTTCGCATGCCTCTATGAACACGTGCACCAACTCAGCAATTTCTCTTCGCTCTTCTATGTATCGGGTGGTGGAAAAAAAAGCGTCCAACTTCACGCTTTATATAAACCCGCTGTGGATGATTTAGGTTCGTGATGCTTTCGTATTACATTGGAAACGCCACAAAATTTGTTTTCTGAAAGTTTCATGTACCTTGGTTGTCGTCTAGGTTGTACCATGAGGTGGATGGAGTTTCAGCACTGTTCGAATGATTTCTCTCCCTGGACACGATAAATGCATATTTTTATGCCAGTTCTCATCGTAGTATTCTGCGTAGTATCGATTCTGATGCTACGATGTACAATAGTAGTATAGGTTTTCCCGACGAATTTCGGCAAAAGTCCATTCAAATTCGGCAGCGGCCGTTTCAATTTCGGCAGTGCTCCTCTCTCCTCCCAGTTATCCCATTCAATTTCGGCAGGTGACTTTCGATTTCGGCATTCGCCGTTTCAATTTCGGCAGCGCAAGGGAATATCTCGTCTCTGGTAGTTAAAATGGAAATGAGGAATAAGGAAGGAAAGGGCACAAACGCATAGGGTATTTTCGGCGAATGACCATTATTTTATTATGCATAGGAAAACACATGGACATGGACATTGATTCTATCTATCGATATGTTCTCTTCTTTTGGCATCTAATCAAGTATGTTAGTGCATGGCAAAATCACGCAAAGCACTTCTATTTTCTTTTATTTGCCCAACTGATGTCCTATTTCGAGCAGTTTCTCTGTCCGACTTTGCTGCAAGTTTTGTTCTGGTCTTCGTCGTCCAAGTTCTACCAGTGTTTCAGGAAAATACACCTCACGTTTGACAGTTGCCTTAAATGCAGAGTGGGCATGTTCTGTCGGATTCAAGGAAGGAAAATATGTCGGCAGAAACTTCACGCGAACGTAAGGAAAGTCATCTGGAACCGAGGCTCGTTTGTGGGGTCTAGCATTATCCATGATGACATAAACTGGTTGATCTGGCAGCAAAATCATGTATACATGTCTCAGGAGCTTCTCAAAGAACTCCTGGAACGACAACGATGTGATGCGTTCCTGTTGTTCCTTCGCAGTAAAAGATTATTCCAAGCATGGAAACGAACATGAACCTACGTGGAGGACTCACAGAAAGGAGCAGCCGATTTCGAATATTTAGTTCCAGTTTGTAATCTTAGACAATGCTAGACCCCACGAACGAACCTCGATCCCAGATGACTTTCTTGTCCATGTGTTTTTCTTTGCATAATAAAATAATGATTATTTGTCAAGAAAAAATTCCCTATGCGTTTGTGCCCTTTCCTGCTCTATTCCTCATACTCATTAATTCCCAAAAGAAGAGATTCCCTTGCGCTGCCGAAATTGAAACGGCGAATGCCGAAGTCGAAAGTTACCTGCCGTAATTGAATGGGAAAATCGAGAGGAGACAGGAGCACTGCCGAAATTGAAACGGCCGCTGCCGAATTTGAATGGACTTTGCCGAAATTCGTCGGGAAAACCTATATTATTCTACGACGTGTAGAATATTACGACAAGGAAATGGCGTAAAAAGTAGTCTTTATGACGTCAAGGGACAGAAATCATTGAATCAGTGCTGAAACTCCTAAATGCACGGAAAAGGTGCATTTTATGACTCCATTTTGAATGACTGTCAATTTTTATTCCGACAACCTATGTCCATGAATCTTTCAGAAAACAACTTTTGTGGAAAACATCACGAACCTAGATCATCCACAGCGGGTTTTATAAAGCGTCCAACAGGGATGCGTTTTTTTTTTTGCGCTAAATATATTTTACCTCATCTCACTCTACCCTTTTGTAAAGGGAATGCCATGTAAATAAAGGTAATTGAGAAACGAAATCGCTTCAGTCATTCTCTTTCTAGCTCTAGTGGTTGTCGGAGCTCTTTCTTGCTCTGGTCCTAGCTCTTGACTGTTCATATCTCATTTCTCTTTATTTCGTTTCTGTTCTCTTTGTTTTGTTTCGCCTCGCGGCATGACGAATGATTCAGGAGCGGAGGCCTTTTGATTTCAGATTTCGTTTCTCATCTGGAAGGAAAATACTCCGAGATTCCAAATGGTTCTCTTCGTCCGCAATCAGATATTTTTCCACGTGAAAAGGCTGACTGCTGAGCACGAAACTAAAAGAGGAAGGAGAAAATGGGTAAAACTGAAAATATTGAAAAGCTAAATTTAAAAATCTGAAGAATTCAATTCAATCTGTACTATTTATTTATTTTATTATAATCATCTATTTTTGCCGTTTCTCTTTGCTTTAACGTTGACTCTCCGATATATTATATGACTCTTCTAAAGCCGTATGCACACCTCTACATGGTAGGAGAGTTGCAACTACCACGTATAGCTGGTGACACGTGTCAGTGATTCCGTATAGAACGTCCCTCCACGCGTCAGCCCTTGACACCCATGCCTATTTTTTCTCCTTGATCAGCATGGGCACGCGATCTAATCACATCATACCCCTCCACGACGGAATTTAGGTTTGTTGTGATAGGGAGTATCCTTAACACTTTGAGCCCTGACGATTTGAATGCGCTATGGGCATAGGACGTCGTATGATGGCTACGGCGGGAGGTATATTCCCATTTTTTTTTGCCTGAAGAGTGGGAGCCTTCCATAGAAGTCATGTAAAATTCCATTCCAAGCAAAACTTATTTCTTCTATGCATGAAAAGTGTCATAGATGAAGATTTGCTTTATTGTCTTCTTCCATTTGCTTGTTTCCAGGGCACAAGAAAATTGGACTTTGTATTCAGAGACAGCTTTGCCAGTGTACACAAGAGTAACATTTGGTGTCCTGAGTTGCCAAGAGCTACCCAATGGAAGTAAATTGGAGTGCTCCAACAGAAGATTGCTTACATGGACATCTCTGCTGTGAAATATACAATAGGTGGCGAAATGGGCATTCAGGCTGCTCAAAGTCACATGCCCTTCAGAATTGCTCCATTGCCAATCGCACTTATGTACATTCCTTTATAGAAGTATTATTTCGTGATCTTGAGAACTTTTGCAAGATTTTGACTCAAAATTGTGATTGTGCCAATGTTCCAGACTGCTGGGGAAATGCCTGCCAAAATTCTCTACCTGTGCAGCACAAAAGTAGACGTTCCTGTAGTGAGTCATGTAATCAGTATTTCTCCCCAGAGGAAGAAGCAGAGTATCCTTTCCAAGATTGTGCAGATGGAAGTCAATATGAAACTGATCCTGATAGAGTGTATTGCATGGATGGCAAGAGATCCCATAATGCCATGGAGCCCAGGTTTGCTTCAAACTATGGTTATGGAGTTTCCACATGTCATCATTCTGGGAAGATGATGAATCCTGTTCCACAATTTGCACCATCTAATGCCATGAATGGGCTTACTGACCATGACAGAAAGATGACCAATTGGAAACACACTAGCTATAATCAGAATCCAAGAGACAAGCAGGAATCTAGGTGCAGGAAGCCTTTTTGCAGTGGTCAATTACAACAACAGGGAAATGGTGATGAACATGGAGAAGTGTCTGGCTTACCAAAATCAAGCTCCTCTACTCTTTGCTCTCATTCAAAGTTCAAAATGAAAGAAAAGCCTAAAATGAGTAGAGTTGCAAGCAAGAGGTCACCCCAACCAAGAGAGTCCATGGAAATCCAGGGAGTAAGTCAAGAAGGCATAGGAGAAGTGTTTGCAGAATCGGAGGAGTTGAAGACACATAGTCATATGCTGTACTCACATCCAGGTACAGGTTGGTTTTATTGCTGCTATAATTCTAGATTTTTTTTAAATATTTGGTGATAGCCACAATTTTAATTTTTTTTGTCCAATATCTGCCAACTTTAGAATTTTGAGATTATATTTAGAGGAGCAATTTTTGCATTGTGTTTTTGCATATCAGAGTTTAAAGGTATCATTATGAAATGCCATGAAAGGAGCTTACTGAGGGATTCCAGATCCAAAGAGAAGAGAAGAGGGCTGGGGAAGTAAAAAACAAGGCCTGGAACATATCTAAGATAAGAAAGTTAAGGTGAAAGAAACTTGTCAGAATGAGAAAAACATTAATTTGGGCCCAAGGTCCTTTCTTCAGATCCAAGAGACAGTATAACAAAGTAGAGAACTGGAAGTGTTCAAGAGTGACACCACCAATCATTGTTGAAGAGCAACCATAGGAAAATTCTCTGGTCAGCAGTGACAAGGTGACAAATATTTTGCCATTTTAATAGTTATTGACAGTGAATATATTTTGAAAACAGTCAATCAATGGAATCTCAATTACAGAAATGTAGTGGTAGGACGTGACAGCTCCCTTCCTGTGAATGCAGTAAAAGTACTGCTGTCCTATGCTTTTGGAAGTGATGAGGTTACACATCTTATGGAGAATATAGTGCCTATGATCATTTGAAGCTTGTCCTACATATTATGATCTCCAGCTATTGCCACATATGAACAGTTTTCAACCCTTTGCTGTTTTGGGTCAGTGTGGCCAGAGCAACCATAGGGTTGTGATACAAAGCAATATGATAGGTATTTACTGCCATTGGAAGGTAAGGTTCCTCAAGATTGAAGTGATTTTCAGAAGGGAAAGAGGGGGGCCAATTTGTCTCATATTCCATGAAAGAAATATGAGAGACAGGTTGCAGTTAGCCTTAACATGTGTAGGATGAGTTTAAAAGGATGTGGAAATTCTCTGTTGGGATTCTGAGAAGTCTTGCAATGAAGGAGTATTTCATCACAAGGGGGACTGATAAGATGAGAAGTGTATGACTGAAGTCATACACTTTTTACTGCTCTGAGGTAGTGAGTGCTCTTTCATATTATTGAAACACCAAGGATTTATTTTGTGTTCTGAGTGCAGCTTGTAATTTGGTGTATTATCATTTCTAGATTCCATTAGCTACACCAAGTCATAGCTGCAACAAGTCAGACCATCATCCTGTTGTCATGTCTAACTAGTCATAGGTGGCTTGTCCAAGGAGGATGTTGCTTCTGGTTTTTTTTAAAAATGTTTTTGCTGGAGTGGGAACCTGAAGAACTTAGTTCATGTGTTGCCTGAATGTGGATCAGATATGAAAGCCTTTACTTATACTTTCTAGGTGACAGTGAGATCCCTGTTAGTCACTTGACTTCCTTGGCAATAAGGGAAAAAGCATAAATAAGGGAATGCACCAAATTATGAGCTGCACTTGCAGTCAATGGCAGAGAGAGCTTTGGCTTTACTTCTGTGAAACAGCCATGATTGCACTCACCCAAAGTAGCTGAATAAAAGGCTGACAGAAACAAGAAGCCCCTTTCCTGACAAAATACCGCCCATCTTTTATCCGACTTCTTAGGATCTTAGCAGAGAATTTCCACATCCAGTGGCATAGCCAGGGTTTTGCCAAATGGTTGGCAAAGAGGAACAGGGAGGGGGCTAGTAACTTCTTCACTAGGGGGGATGGACACAATAAGACCTGACTTTGGGGGGGGGCTTCACCCCCCCTCTCTCACTGTACCACTGCCCACATCCTCTGGAACTTATCTAGTGGAAGCAAATGTTTTCAGCAACTACCATTGGTATCTTTTCAATGTGCATTCATTTGTGATAGACAAACTGGCTCATTATTTGTTTCCTAAAAAATTACTTCATTTCATTGGAACCTTTCCATTTCAAATATCAACTGTGTCCCTTGATGTTAAAATAAAATATTTTTTGCAGTTTAAATAATAAATTAGTTATTTTTTTTTTAATCAACCAATGATATCAAAATCTGCCAATGGTGTTTGGAAGTAGTTATGCTTTCTATAGATTGTCTTGGAAAGCATGTGAAATGGGTATATGAGATACACTATAATCCCTCTTATAACCCACAAGGCTCAATGGGTACATGCAGTCTGTTCATAGGAATGATAGCCCACCAACCCATCACTTCTTGCAACATTAGATGGCAGAGTTACAACTTGACTGCATCTGTGAGAAGACAGCTACCATTTACCTCTTGAGTCTTCTCTTTGAGATTCACAGAATTGGTGATAGCCTTGTATACAATCCCTTTGAGATTTACATACAGAGTGCCCTAATAGTTTCTGACCCACATTCACAAAATGTGGATAAATACCATGGTAGCTACTGTAAAAACATCCTGCCTATTTACTAGGGCAATGAACCAGGTGATTGGTTCAGGCCAAGAAAAGGCTGTGCTGATGCCAGATGGAGCCTCATGCCACACAGCTGGCTTCACATTCCAGACCATTGAAGACACTGGGGTTCAGAGCTAGACATTGACCCAGTAATTGTCTGGACCTCAACACCCTGAACACCTGTGGCACAGGTTCCAGCAGAGTGTTCTGCATCAACTGCAGCCCATAAATTGGACCTCAGTCATTACCAGGATTTTATGTGGAATGAGAAATTAACTCAATAAATCTCTTACAGAAAGTTGTTGGGAGCTTCAGAATACCAAATCTTTGTTCCTGGAGGCCAGCAGAGTGATATCAACTGTTGATGTGGGAGTTGTTACCTAGGGTGTTCTTGGCCAAGTAGAATGCAATTAATTTTATATTCTTTTTAATCTTATCTCCATCTTTATTTTAGTGGGTCAGAAACTTTCAGAACACCCTGTAGTAGTAGCAGCAATAGTATTTTTGGTGCCTTGTCACTGTATACTTGAGTACTTTTTTGACAAACTGCAATCTATGAGCATGATTCTTGTTGAACACTCAGTTCTTTATTTTGCTGTGTGATTTTTTGTGTCCTAACAAGCTTCTTCCATTGAAACCTTCTTGTCCTTGTTATTCCCATGAACCTCTTTTCTTTGACTTTTTCATTCAGCTTTCTCTTCCCTTTGGACATATTTTGACTGTATATCCCATTCGGGCTATGTAAGTACTATGATTCAGAGGCTCAATTGCTTGATTTTTAATATATATTGCAATGAAGGGTAGCATTTGTTGAATGCCTTGAGGAGCACCATCCATTTCAGGTCTATATTTTAATGTTCTTCAAATGTTGGGTATTAGCTCAAAGGTTGACAAAGAACACATCAGTGCAAGAAAATGTATAAGGGTTTATAAATTCATTTCACCAGGACAAATCCTTGTTGTGCTTGAGGACCTGGATGTGCTTAAAATTGTATAGTTGCCATCAGGCAACTGAAAGCAAGTGGTTTGGAGAATGTCATGGTTATGGTACCATATAGAGGCTGTACAGAGGTACTGGATTACATCCAGGATTTGGCACATATCTACCTGAGGGCATTTGAAAATCATGGTTTTTTTATCATGGAGGAAAAAATGTATATTCTATTTCAGAGAGATACCTATATTTATTTCAAATGGAAAATTGATTTTTTTATAATTATTTTTAAAGACTTAGGTAAGCACAAGACTTGTGGAAGGTCATAAAATAGGAGGGAAGCAAGAAATGAACATGAAAAAGCACCAGAAAGTGAAAATAAAGACAATGTAACTAAATGTAACATGCAGGTGAAAGCAGGGAATAATAGGAAGATTATTTTGGAAAGAAAGATGGTCAACATTTGGGCCTCCAAAGAACTACTAAAGAAACAAGAATATATGAGGTTTCATACAAAGCAAGGCATCAATTCCTTTTACATGCAATCCAGCTATGCATGAAAGAAATAGGTGTATCCAGACTAGTTTTTGTTAAATTATTTTTGGAAGAGGCCATCTGAAAAATCTCTGGAAATTTGAAAATTGAGACCATTCCTGGAGTGTTTGTATGCCAAGACTTTCCAGGGAGAATACATGCTGAAAAACTAGTAGCTTATTTTCTGTTCTGCATTGGCAGTACCTGATGGCATTGTCTGCTTGATTTACTGGGTGCCATAAGCCCCAGTCTTGAACATTTGCAGCTAGCTTCAATTTCAGACCATATCATTATGATGTGATTTGTGACTATCTGAGAACCTCAAGTAGGCTTAGGACTGTAGCCAACTTGAAATCACATAGGTTGCTCTAAGCAACAACCATTGCTGGTAACCAGAGCATTCATAGTGCCCTCAAGATGGTGCTTTACAAAAGTACTATTCTCATTTGTGTCAATGATTTTTGCTTATTGCAGGTGCTGGTACAAAAACTGATGAATCTGTTGCTGCTCCATCTGCCATATCCCCAATCAGTGTTCTAGCCAACATCACTTCTGCTGCTACCCGTCCTTCAATCTTGACTCCCGTATCCACTGCACTTTCTCCGAAGGAAGCTGCACCTGCATCAGCCTTTCCTGCGATTGTGGAACCAAATATTCCAACCAGTGGAGTGGGTACAAGTGCCCTGGCAGCTGCAGAACCAGGACAGACAGATGTGTGTCCAGATCAAAGTTCAACAGGCCTCTTCCAAACTACAGCTACTGCTGCCATGGGACAAGCCCCAGTTCTGACCGATCCAGCACCATCCACTGCGACTGCTATGATGACTACAACCTTTCCTGTCAGTATCACTCCGTCATCATCCTCACTATATGTAGCTGATGAGAAATCAACTGTTGCTGATGATATATCATCATCTTCTATTGATGTTGCATTCAACAAAGGAAATCGTGTATTCCCTGCGGGACGTATCCATCGCCTTCTTCAGAAGGGGAATTATGCAAAGCATATAGAACCTGATGCCTCTGTCTACTTGACAGCTGTCATGGAATATATGACTGCTGAAGTAATGGAATTGGCAGGCGAAGCAGCACATCAATTTGACAAGAAGACAATCAGTTCCAATGAGTTGTATTTAGCCATTGATCATGATGAAGAGTTGGACGCTTTCTTCTCAGACGTGACCGACGACGAGGATGGATCATCAGAAGCAGAATCCGAGGAAGAGTGGACTGTACCAAACTCGGTTCCATCTGTGGCCGAGAAACACGTATAGAATGAATCACTGATTGAAGTGCTACAGCGAATAGGTTTATACATAGATTTTGAAGCCCATCACGAATTTTCAATGGGAAAAAAAAATACTTATTTTGTTTATGGCAGCATGAAACTAACTTCTCTTTGGCTGCACCAGTCGGTGTGATCGCAGAAACTCCAGCTAATCACGAAACTCCTCACCTTCCGTGTCTTTCGTGCGTTCTTTGCCACCTGTGAGGAAAAGAACACCTTGGGGGCCTCGGTCTTCTGTCTAATTACAACCCCAAATGGACAAAATGTGATTGCGTGTAGTTGGTGCGTGATCTGGCAGCTTTTGTCTTCATATGCAGTGCGAAGTTGTGGCCAAGCTCTTTCTCTCACAAATTTTTTTTTCCTGCATGTATTTCTCAGGTCATTTTGCATAAAGACATTCATTGTCTCACCTGATATACGAATCGACTTCAAATTTTGATACTTGTCATGACAGTATCAGCCTAAATTGGACAATTAATCTGTTGCCATGATTACTATTGTCTAGACTAAGTCTGGGTGGAGCCGTTGCCTCAGGAAAGTGTCTCATAAATGAGTTAAGGGTGAAAATAGCATTAAAATGTGAATCTTTTTTTCCGGTTGCAGTCCACAATCTCCTGTTTCAATAGCGTTGAGAGAGGGGCTGGTGTTCGTAAAGCTAACATAGCAAAACTCATAAAACTTATGAGTTTTGCTCTAGTAAACTAGTAGTGAGTAACTAATAAGATAAATTAATTTCAGGATTGTAGTTATCTGCCTGTCATCCTAAGTATCCTAAGGGCAGACAGCGAGTGACAATTCCCACCTATTTTGAAGGAGAGAGAAAAATGAGAAAACCGGAGTGCGTGTGAAAAGTCAGTTGCAAAATCTCAGGTGCAACGCTGATCGTGCTCTAACGACATGTTCGTCGGCCTGTATGATGGTGATGTTTATGTCACATAAGCATTTTTTTTAATGGAAAAAAAGCAGCTGCTAAACTCTTAGCCCCACGAGAGTCGTAACTACGCCACGTCATCGGGTAACAGGGAGAATAAGGGCATCCCTTCATATTCCTTCGCATCGCTTCTCATGGGAGAGGCTTACGAAAAATCTCATAAGTCGGCAATGTTGCCCATGTAGTGGTGCTTCCTATATGTGAAGTACGTTATTGTGGTCCGAAGTGTGTACGTGTTATCAGCATTAAAAATGATAAGGCATTCAGTTTGTTCAATGTTTGGGACGAGTTGTTATTTTGGACGTACTCTGCGTCTTTAAGCAAGGGAGTTGCGTGATCTCTTGTCGATTATCCAGTCCGTCGCGCGAAATAGCATTTAAGGCTCATCTGTTGCGATCAACTCGACCGTTCTTATACGAATGGTCGAGTTAATCTAAACTAAACCCCGAATGTATACATTTCGAGCTTTAGTTTCTCCTGCAATGATGACATTTCTCTATTCATAAAACTTTTCCCATCTATCCCGCCAACCACAATTTACGTACACATATTCCCCGAGTTATTCAAAACATATGGTTTCTTAGACATTCACGCTTCGGCATAGTTACTACTGCCACAAGTTTGCTTCGGCCCCGCGTGCGAGCTGAAGATGGTGGCCAATAAAATCGCTGGAATCCCATCAATCAGACCCTACTCATCAATCAGACGCGAAATTATCGGTCAGGTGATCTTTCCTTGCCTAGTCCATGCCGTAATACTCCGAAGTCGCTTGGAGTTTTAATCTTCACTCGAGTGTGTTGGCATGCACGGCGTGCGTGGCAGCCCAAATGAGAGTCTTGGACGCCTGCAACAAGCCCTTGGAGAGGAAGCACCATCTCTTAGTGCAATTTTTGAGCGGTTCGCAGAATTTCGGAGGAGAAGGGTGTTCTTGAAGGATGAGCCTCGCTGTGACCGAACACCAACTGCAGTGACAGATGAAAATGCGGCCATTGCTAGTAAGATGGTTGAAGAGGACAATCGATATTGGGATTCAGGCAAGTGGTAGCAGAATACTGCCTCCCAAAGGTGTTCGAATCTTTGAAGAATCGGAGGCCCAAGTCACCCTTAATTTGATGAATGGATGCTCCATGATGCGTCCACTCACATCGAATTTCCCGCACGAGTCTGGCACTTTGACGACACTTTAGCATCGACAAACAAAAAAGAAATATAAAATGGGTGGAAGTGGGGTCTCGCTTAATTTCCCTCGCCGCAGCGTTTCTTTCACCTCGCAAGTGATAGAGCGGGAGATACAAACCTGCTCCGCCATGGCCCCAGGGTAGAGGTCAGTGGCGACATCTAACCGAATACGAAAGAAGGAATGATAGGAGTTTTCTCCCATTTGTCACCACTTCAAAGCCGGTTCTGAGAAATCTTACATTTACAGCACAGTGCATTTCAGTGTCGACCCCACCACGTTCCACGACGACTCTCGTCCGACTTGAATTTTCATCGAGGTTTCATCGTCTCAACGGAATTGTTTTTGTGGGGCCAAATCGAACCTCGTGCTCGAGGAGAACTTTCCGCATTCGGAGCCGCAGGCTTTCTGAACGCTTCACAGCAACTCTATCGCGTCGGCTTGTCCAGTCGATGCACAGAAATGCATTGCTGTACTGTGAAGGGCGTCTGTCAAGTAGCGACCCCTCGTGTTGGCCTTACATCGTGCAGTGTTGGCACCTGGTTTGGTAATTTCCATGGCTTTTTCATTTTTTAATTATTTCTTCCATTTCCAAGCTTTTCCATTTTTTTTTATTCATTTCCAACCGGTTTAGCCATTAGTGGAGTGCAAGAACCACAATGTGGTTTTCTCAAGTACTCGAGAGCGACTTTTTCTACAGCACTCGTTCAAATGTAAAAGTCTGTTCGGTATGAACAGATGCGATCGTGGCTAGCAATTCTGCGTGGCCCTCCCAGAGAAATGTGTCGAAACATACAACTATATGCAGAATCGTTCAAAAATGCGTGTTCATTTTTCCAATGACGTCAATTCAATCTCATCTTGGTGATACGAGCTCTCATCTGGGTTGCATTCCTGTTGAGGAAAAATATGCCTTTTCATAGCAATTGCTTCTATAATAATCGTTTCATAATAATAATCGGCATCTCATCGCTTGCGATGAGATGCCGTTTTGTTGGTATATCGGTATGCATTGGGCAGTCGAAAGGAAAAGATACGGGCAGTGAAATCATGCCCCCCCCCTCCAAAAAAAAATAAATCCTAAGGAAAATGAGAAAGTTTGCTATTTTAATGTAAGGAAAACATTTTGCAACGGAAGATGAAAGCTATAATTGCGTCTTCTGACTTCATGGGTCCCATTAGATAGAGATCAACTAATGAAGTGAGATTGTCCTTGGGCTCGATCCAATCGGTGCCCAAAGTCAAGAGTTAGAGGGAAAGTTTTTTTTTATGAAATGACTGAGCTACAGCCCTGTTATCTGCATGCACTCGAACAAACAAGGTTTCCACAAGAAAAGAGAGATGGCGGATGAATCGCTGTTGCGAGTCATCCCCGTTGAGTGCAAGAATTCAAGGAAGATCCCGCATGAGCTTCGCGGAAGCAAGTTCTCTCCACCCCGTGAAGGTGAATTTTCGTCAAAAACTTCTCAGTTTTAGAGAATTTATCCCAGTAGACCACAGGGTCGGACTGACCCTGTGTGCATGATTATTATGCTAATATGAAATCTAATTCGTATCTCTACGGATTTGGGTGACATGCACCAGATCCATCTACAGTGAAAACTCGTTAACTCGAATCCTGATAAGTCGAAATTCTGCTTATCTCGAAGTTCAAAGCTTGGTCCCGGCGGAACCCCATAGGACACCATGTTAAATGCTCAGTTTAACTCGAATTCGCTTATCTCGAATTTCCGGATATCTCGAATGAAATTTTCACTCCCTATAGCGATTTTCTCACGGTTAACTCGAATTCTGGGTGAGTAGGGGGGAAAATTCTTCTCGTGGGACTTTTCGATTTTTGAATAGAATGAATGACAAGAAACTCGTTCGGGAGGATGTTCTTTTGTCTTTTTTGTTTTGTTTTTCTGCTTCTCCCTCCTCCCACACAGACGCCTGTGGAGAGGATTAAACCTGAGGATTAAAACCAAGAAGCTTCGGCTATAAAAAAGCAACCTCAAAAATTCGCTCTGTCTCTCTATCGCTCTCACTCCGAGCCATTCTAGTCATATTCTACTTCCTTTACGCCATTTGTGTGGAATGAGCTCACTCGAGAGGAAATTGAAGACTCTGACGCTCGAAAAGAAGGTACACTTGATTCGGACTTGCGAAGAAGGCCAGCTGAAGAAGAAAGGCATCGCAGAGAATTTCGGGATTCCTCCCTCTACTCTCTCTACCATTATACGCAGAAAAGTTAAGGTTTTGAGTGCACATGAGAAGCGCCTATTTACAGCAAGTTGCAGGAAAATGAAGACAGCCAAGCATGGGAACGTAGAGTTCACACAGTGCCAATCGACTTGTTCGAGGCAGTAGGGAAATTGGAGGACTTTCACTTCTCTATTGCAAGTTCTTTTACAAAGCAAATGAAGATCATTGATTACATGTCAGAAATGGATAAAAACCGAAAGAGCCCCAGATGAAAGGCGTTGCAATAAATTAATTTTACATATGAAGTTTAAAAGTTTCACTCGAGATGAATAAAAGCTAATTATAATGGGAAGGTCGTGAAATTGGAATAATCGCCCTCTGGTTATGCTCCTTAACGTGAGATTTTTTGGGGGGGGGGGGGCGATTCCTGATAACTCGAACTTCGGATAACTCGAAACGATTTGCCCGGTCCCTAAAAGTTCGAGTTAACGAGTTTTCACTGTACCTTTAAACTCATCTTGTTTCATAATGGGCGTCTATGGGAATAAGATTATCACCGTCAAACGTATTTCCAAACTATTATGAGATCAGATTAGTTTAAGTTAAACAGATTTGGTGCATGTTACCCTTTGTCCCTTCATTTAGAAATGAAGGCAAAATAAGTGATGAACAAGGGCGATTATGTGGATCGGACTGATTTAAATCTTGTGGAACTTTTGTGGTGCCTTTTGGATGTAGTTCCTTTATTTCCCTCAAGGATAAAGCCTGAAGTCTAAAGAATGGGTAACAAAACTTGGAAGGGAATCGACGCACTTGGAAAGCCTGTTATCTAAAGCATAAAATAAAAAAGAAGGAATATGCCTTTCTCCAGTCTCTTCTTTTTCTTGTGATTTTTAAGTTGAAAGAGGGAAATTAAGATGGCAAAGATGGACTTGAAGCATTCCTAGGCTCCGTCGTGAAAAGTATGATAGAAATGTTCATGGAGTTGAATCTATTTATGGTTTCAACACAAACGCGGTTGGAAAGACGAAGCTTATTGAAGCTTTTTGTCCCCACCCTCTTTCCGCTTCTGTCTCATCCTGTTTGCCTGGAAACGAGACAATTTCTCTACTTTCCCTCCAAACC